TCGCGAACAAGAACAACTCTTTGTTCACTTGTGTTCGGCTCAATTTAGCTCGAAATAGAAAAAGTATATATAATTATTTATATAATAATATTTTATATTTATTTATATCTAAATTTAAATCATAACATCTCGTGTGATAATGTGGTTAATACCTTTTTTGGTATACATTTGGTCATAGTTCTAATCCCGCACTTTACATCTATTTTTTTCAATTTAATTTTTACTAGCCAATTTCGAGCCGAACACGAGCCGCATGACCCAAATATTTAAATCGAGTCGAACACGAACACACAGTTCACGAGCCAATTTCGAACACGAGTCGATTTCAAACACGAGCTATTTCGCACGAGCCGAACACAAGCCAAGCCTGAGCTCACTCAAGCTCGGCTCTTTTACAACCCTAGTGGAGGTTGTTGATTACTCCAACTTGGTTCAGTCTCAAGATTCAATATGAAGTCTAATTGGATTAGTGGACAATAGTTTTGAACGTATTTCTTGAAGAGGCACTAATCAAAGAAAAAAGTTTTTTTTTTCTCACACGGATTTACTTTTTCTTAAGCTAGACACAATAAAGATCTTGTTGAATTTGGCATTCCTTATTTGGTTAGTATCTGAATGTGGTGTTGCTTTTCTCTTCGTAGATGGATATAAATCGCTCGGGTTTTAAATTATTTTGGTCTAATATATATTTTTTTGTGTTTTCATGTTGATGGACTTTGTGACCGCTTACTCATGCACTTTTTTTAATAATTTGTTATAAAATTTTATCATTTCAAAAAGGTCACACACTCGTAACTTTTTTTTTTAAATTATTCATGAACAAACTAAATGGATGAGATAACTCTGGAGTATTTTCTACAATCAGCCACACTATCTTCAAAAATGTCAAAGCTTCCTATCTCATGAATTTACATCCAATTCTCAGGTCTTTTCTCCTACTGCTGCACAGTCGTATCGCAAAGCCTTCTTGAAAATTCCGCTCTCTATCGTAAAAGATCCCATAGAAGCGAAGGAAAGGGCACAATTGAAGATTGACTGTCTGCAATAAATATTTTTGAGAAATTTGATTAAGTTTTTGTCGACTTAATGTGTATTCACACCCCTCAAATTTCAATCAAGTTAATTTTATAAAGTTCTATGCATTAAATCAAGGAAATTGATATAAAACATCATATGTAAATTATAAATGATTTGAGTGATATAAAATGTTGAATTTATAAGTTTAATCAATTTAATTAACCTTAATTATTTCCCTAATCCTTAGCACTATAGCCCACCGACTTACGCCTCTTTCAGTTCCTTTCATGTGATCGAATGAGTTCAGAGCTGCAATTTCTTCTCCTGAATCCTTCCTCTTCTCTATTGTGTTCTCGATTCTCCTCCTTCACTCGACTGCTATTGCTGCTCTGGAGAAGCCGAGCCCGCGACCCTTGATATAGTGCAAGGGCCGCGAACTAGCATAGAGGCGAACGACACTTGGGAAGGCTGTAATTTGGGATTTAGGGCTACTGGGTGAAATCTTAAGGCGTGAATCCTTTTTTTCACGAACTTTGAAGCTTTTATTTTCTTCCTCATCTTTTAGTTTTGAGTTTTGCCTCAGTATTCATGCAAATTTCATTTACAGCAGTTGTCTGAAATGCCAATTTTGTGTCAGATGTATTGAATCTGGTTTGCGAGCTCCATAAGAGTTTTAACACAACATCAATGAAGGGGAAAGGGGATTTGAAGTGTTAAGAAGAAGAGAGAAGATACTTGACAATTTACGAGAATGCCTGGTCGTCGAGAAAGCCGTTTAAAGTATGTTTTGATAAATCAATGATATTTTGAGCTAAGTTACCTAATGAACTAATATATTATGAATTCCTAATTCATTTAAAATTTTAGATTGGTTACCTGAGGCGACGAGTTAAAGACAACGGTGTAGAAGATCGTCGTAGGACGACTTCATAAATTTCAGGTAACATATTCTTATGCTAATAAGAAGAATAATTTAATTTATGGAAATCACTTGAATCGTAAAGTTTAATATTATGTTTTATAGGTTATTATGCTCAACATACGAGTCAACATAACCTCCAGCTAGCTATCGAAGATTAAGACTTTAGCGTGATAACTGAGGTGAGTAATCATGTTTTTAAATTTTAATAATCTTCAATGTTTCAGATTATATGTTTGACTCCATCTATGCCTTAATTTAATCAGATTCTTCATATTGTTAGATAGGTAAGATATGCATGATAAACATAGTAGAAAAAAATGTGCATGCATGAGATGAATGATATTTATATTGACATTATATGGAGGATGGACATGTAAGATAGACATGTAGGAAAAATATGCATGATATAAGTAAGAAATATATATGAGATAGATATATGAATGATATGAAAGATATGCATGATAAATAGCTGCACAATATAGTAAATATTCATGTTTATATATACATGAATATGTCTCAGAATAATGTATGTTACAATATGTTACAAAGAATGAAAAAAACTTATATATGAACACTTTTATGTGCATGTTCAGAAAAGGATTTCATCCCCTAATGGTACAGGCAAGGGACGTCGGTGTACCGAAGCGCGTAGAGTTTTTCTACCATCTTAGACAATTCTGATGGTTATATCACTAACTACTGTGCCAATAGGATAATATTGACCTGAGGCAAGTAGACTGAAGCTTGCATCTCTTGACAATTATGATGTTTACATTGCTAACCGCTGTGTCGACGAGATAATATCGGCTACCTTTCCACCTTATACAATTGTGATGTGTAGATTGCTAACCGCTGTGCTGATGGGAGCAGACAGGGCAATATAAGCTAAGGGTGTGCTAGGTTGTTGATGATAATTCTCACAGAGACATAAATGTATGTAAGAAATATAAAGTAAAAGTAAAATTAAGATGAATGCATATAAAAGATTAGTGTGTATGTTCATTTAGAAAAAATCATTGATACATATAGTATATATCAAATTGCTTATAAGATTATGAAAAACTAACATATTATAAAATTTCTTACCGACTCACTTGTATATTGAATTTTTTTCCTTTGATTACTATAGTTTAAAATTGTGATTACTTTTGAGTTATCTTTAGATAACTTATTATGTTGTTTTAATATTATTTTTAGGTTTCAAACATTTGAATAAGATAAATAGAAGATGAACAGATATGTATAGAAGACTAGAACAATAAACGAAAATATACAAATTTCTACTTGTTAATTGTAATTATTTTTTTTCGTGATTCTTTCATGTATTATTTGAATATTAAATTGTTAGAGATAGAATTAAAATAACAGAGAATTGATTTCCTCGACCGTCCGTTCCCGCCTTGGTTAACTCCAAGCCTCGGGCCGGGTTGCGACATTGTCCTTAGTGTGCAACTTTTGAAGGGTCATCTGTTTTTGTTTCAGTTACTGATTATACCCAATCATTGATCTTTGAACTAGATCTTCGAACTAACCTTGATGAAGATCAGTCTTTACGATTTTGATCTATGATTTGATTAGATTTTGTCTTCCCTTAGTTGATCTTTGATCAAAACTTGTAAGTGTTTTCTTGTGTATCATCTTTTTTACTTATTGGCTATAGTCCTCACTCTCTATAATTTGCCTTCAATTGTAGAACTTCTTATTGTGCTATGTTTTTTCTATAAAACATGCGCTGTTTCTTTTTGTGAAAAAAGAGGAATGTTGTACTTTAAATCTATTGCTTTTGACCATATTTATTTGCCGCTTAATTTTGATTACATGGTCTACATTAGGAGTTTAACTGAGCCAAGCCGGCTCGTGAGTCTACTCAGACTCGACTCGATAGATGGCTCATCAATTGAGCTCGATGTGCTAACAAACCAAGCTCAAGCCTGCTTCGACTCTACTCGTTAGCTCGTGAGCCCGCTTATTTAAAAAATAATTAATATAAAATATATTCAAAATATAATAAAATTTAAAACATTATCTATAACTTATTAAAAATGTTAAGAAAATGATATTTTACATTTTATATCATTTAATTTTTTATTATTTATCTCTTAATTGCTCATTCTATTTGTCATTTTATTATAACACTAGTTTGATTTAATATTGTTTTGTCTTTTTTATATTAATCAAGTCGGTTGATGAGCTGATTTGAACTCGTAGAATAGAGCTTGAACTCGATTAATTAATCAAAGTTAAAGTTGAAGTCGAGGGCAACTCGACTTTTTTTACACCCATAGTCTACATCAGGTGTCTTGCACGCTCTCTTAAAAGTTTATGATGTTTGATCAGTATCCTAGAGAAAAACTAGAACAAAATCTTGAAGAATGCTAATTGACGTTGACCAATCCAGATTGCATTGGGAGGCAATAAATTCCATGTCAACCAATGCCTCAACTTATAATAAACTGCATTAGCTGTGTATTTTGATTCCATGAATCATCTATGAGAAATTCTAATGATTTTAATAATCATCATTTGGTCTCAGGATAATCTGAAGTTGATGGATGACATGGCAGTTCTCCAGCCTACAGTGTTCGCCAGTGTTCCTCGTCTATATAATAGAATTTATGCAGGGTGATGTTTTAATCATTTACGTATACTATTATTATTTACTTTTTGAAACTTCATTTAAATTGAGACATTGCTAAAGTTTAATTTATTGTAGTGTTATGAATGCTGTCAAGGCATCGGGGGGACTAAGGGAGAGATTATTCAATATTGCTTACAACACAAAGATACAAGCCATATCAAATGGTAGTTTTACCTTAGAATTTTAATTCATTCGATACACACGTTGAGTGCCCCTTTCTACGGGAAGCATCAGTATGATAAGGCATTGGAACATTCTTTTCTGCATGTACCACTATTCACGTTTTAGTAAAGCTCCCGGGCATTCAAAGAGCATTTGTTGCTTGTGTTTTAACATTTAGTTTTAAAGAATAATAAAGATGAACATTCTAGTTGTTTATTCATGAAACTACAAGATCACCAAATTGTAAGATCTTTCAATGAATTTCTACAATTATAAGTAACATCTTTTCCTCTAAGTGATGCACAGCTTTTGAGATCTGATAATGTTTTTCATTTATGATCCTTCAGTAATTTCTTATATACTATTTGTACTTCTAATTTATATCTACATTTCTCGATTAAATGATTAATGTAACATCATGAAAGGTGAATTTGAAATCTTGTTTAAAGCTTTGAGCGAAGATCATACTCTTTTTTATAGTATATTGAATGAAAGACATTCTATCATTGCTTTAAAACTCTCTAAACTCTTGACCTATTTTATATTTCAATGTTTGAGGTATTGCTTCATAATCTCTATAAAAAAGAGTATGATTATATATGTTATGTATATAGCGATTAAAAGTAGGATGAAAAGCTAATGCTTCATAATTTCTATTGTATTGCTTGCATCACGCCCGTAAGAAGCTGTCGGCAGCCGGAATCGAAATCCCGTCACCCGCTTCGGAAGGACTTTTGAATTTACGTATATATATAATTTTAGAAAAATATGAAATCAAACTGACCTCATATTTTTCACAGTTTAAATGAAAGAGCACTCTACCTCAAATCCTGTATCTATCCCAAGGGATAAACACAAGACTTGAGGGTGAGGCTCGATCAAATAAACTAAGAAAGATATGACGTCCGTTTGGTCTGCGAAACCGTTTTATTTGCCGACAAGTTCCCCTATTTAATACAAATAATTAAATAGGGTTTATTTTAAGCTGGGTTCGGAAAAGCTCCCTATAAGGGCAAGCCCCTATAGTTAATT